ATATAAAATACTTAAGCAATTCCCTGTAAATTTATTTGACTGTCACTGGAAAACGAAAACAAGCAAATACTTGAGATTGCATTTCCTGCAAAAATGCAGTGTGAATAATTATTGCTGAAGAACTTGCTGAAAAACAGCTGGAATTAGCTAAAAACATGCTGTAATGTAGCTGAAATGCAAGAACAAGCCTAATTTAGCAGAAAAAAACAGAAACGCATATTTGCTGAATTAGGTTTAAACAAGCAGAAATGAGCATAAAAGTTGGGAAGATAGCTAAAAAAGCTGAAGTTAGCAAGTAGCTGAAAAGGCATAAATAAGCTTAAATGACCAGACGGAAGTTGAAGGAGCTGAAAGGAGCTAAAAAAAAAAGTCCAATTAGCTGGAAAAGCTTAATTTAGCACAAAAACAGCTACATAGTTGCTGAAATTGCAGAAAAAGCTGAAATCAGCATAACAAGTAGAAAATAGCAGAAAGAAAGTAATTAGGCTGAAAGTAGCAGAAATGATCATGAAAAAATTTAATGTATCTGAAAACAGCTGAAATTAGCTAAAAATGCTGAAACGGTAGCTGAAAAGGTAGAACAAGCTTAAATAAGCAGAAGAAGGCAGAAAGAACACACATTTTGCTAAAGAAATGAGCACAAAAAGTGGAAATATTCTGAAAAAAGCTGAAATTAGCATAAAACAGCTGAAATGTAGCTAGAAAATCAGAAAGCTTAAATTACCAGAAGGAAGTGGAGAGAACACATTTTTGCTTAATTAGGCTCACAAATGTTGAAATCAGTGCATAAAATTTGGAATTAGCTGAAAAAGCTAAAATTAGCATAAACAGCTAAATAGTAACTGAAATAGCAGAAAAGGTTGAAACTTGCAGAAATAAGGTGAAAGGAACATAACAAGCATAAATTAGCAGAAATAAGTTAGAAGAAGCACACACATAGTTAGCAGAAAGATGCTAAAAGGAGCACAAAATAGCTGAAAAAACAGCTGAAATTATCTGAAAGTAGCTCGTTTTTTTAACTTTACACAAGGAAGCTGAAAGAAGCTGAAGCAGAACAAAATGTGAAAGGAGCAGTAAACAGTTGTAAACAGATCTAAAGATTTGAAGGAGGTAAAATGAGCTCAGTTCATTTTCTATGAGAATAAAATGGCAGAAAAGGCTAAATATTTCAAAAAGCTAAAGCAGCACCGATACCACAAGTCATAGCAGGATTGTCCTGAAAGAGCCGAACGTTTTGATTTAAGATTTGTTGAAATAGCACAAAAAATGTGGAATGAGAAAGATAAAAAATCATACGAAGATAAATGGATCACAGTGGTCTGAATGCTTCATGACGATTCACACAATTAAGCAAAGTTTTGAAATGTAGTAAAATATTTGTACATATATATATATATATATATATATATATGTGAAGTCTGTTTCAACTGACTAAATGATTAATTATTGACTAAATGTGTCCACTTGTTCATGAGATGTTTTACTAACAGACAAATAACACCTGCTTCTTACTGGTGCGTGCGGATAAACATGGAAGCTAAAGAGAATAAGGCGGCTCGCCACATGCCATAATCTTCTTGTCTCCTCGTTCCTTCAGTTAGTTCTTAAACATTAATATGAAATAACATAAAAAATGACATTTTGATTCTAAGTTTGATTTGGAAAAGAGACAAGTGAGGACAGAGCTACAGGAGTGCATTCTAAAATGAAACAGTGAATCTGTCGGAGGTTTGTTCGACCTTATTAAGTATTTATTTGTGGTAAACGCTCTGATTTCATTATATGTGCACGTTAAAACCTCGAACCGTTGTAGAGCTCAACAGTTTCCATGATGGTGATGAAACGTCGGATTCTGGTTCGTGTGTTTTTACCTTCTCTCCCTCGGGACAGTAGCCTTTGACAAAGTCCTCACACACTTCAGCTTTACGGGACACGTAAACGTGGCTGTAGGGACAGTCGTTGTTGTTGCAGGTTCCCTTCAGAAAGTACGAACACACCGGCATCTGCGCACGCACACGCACGCACGCACGCACACACACACACACACACACACACAGAGGCAGTGAGAGGAAAGTCATCAGAACCAAAACCAGGTGAAAATAATAAAAATGGACCAAATTCTACAACCCCAGTTCTGAAAACTTTGTTTAGTAAAATGTAAACAAAAACAAAACATCCATCCATCCATCCGTCCATCCGTCCATCCATCCATCCATCCATCCATCCGTCCGTCCGTCCGTCCATCCGTCCATCCATCTTTACTAATTTCTTCCTTTTTGGATCACGTGGGTCACTGGTGCCCATGTCCACCAGTCACTGTGCGAGAGGTGGTGGACACCTGGACAGGTTTCCAGTCCATCACAGGGACACCTGGCCAGGTCTCCAGTCCATGACGGCGACATAGAGACAAATGAGACAAACAACCATTCTCTCTCTCTCACGTAGGGACACTTTAGAGTTAGTCTGTCTGACATGCATGTTTTTGGTCTGTGGGAGGAAACTGGAGTACCTGGAGAAAATCCACACAGCACAGGGAGAACATACAAACTCCACCCAGAAAGGTCCCTCAGCTGGGATTTGAACCGGCAGCCTTCTCGCTGAGAGGCGGCAGCTCCACCAACTGAGCCACCGTGCCAACTAGCTTATCTCCAGATTTTAAATTTCAATCCTTTGATGATATTACGAGCCAATGTTTTATCAATATTCCTTGTTTCTAAAACAGTTTAACTAGTTTCAGGTGCAGCTTTTTGCAGCGTGGTGAACCCCTGCCCATCTTTACCTCTGAGACTTCACTATAATGCTCTTTCTTTATCCAGTCCTCTTACTGACCTGTTGCCCAATAACTGAATTAGTTGCAAAATGCTCCTCCAGCTGTTTCTACACCTCGTTTTATTTTCACCAAAAATGTTTCAAGGTCTGTTTAAACATAAAATGTTTATTATTTTCTACTACTGTGGGTAACAAATAAATGTATGAAACTGTCCAATCCTTGTAGTTTACACACATTTTCAGGGCCTTGGGGTTGAGCTTCAAATCAACGATGAGCAGACGGGAGTGTTTTCTGAGGATGCAGGTGGAAAATTGGCTCAAGGAGATGTCAGAGGGGCGAGAGGATACGATTACGTGACTTTGTAAACATACGTGTTGTTCTGAAACGCCGCCGCCGCCCGGTTCTGTTGGGACGCGTCCCGTGAGCCCGGCGATCCGTCACAGCGAGCAGCTAAATGACCTTAATTGCGGCTGACAGGAGCGGCGGGAAAGTGAATGTGCGTCTTGACAGCATGTGTGTTTGTGTGCAGAGAGATCTAGTGTTTGACATGCAGGGGTGAGCCTGCAGGAGGCCGCTCTAAATATACCTCTGAGGGAGTTGGGTGAAGAAAGACCGGGGGGGGGGGGGGGGGGGGGGGGGGGG